AATGATGATTATTCAATACCAATAGTTCGTGGTAATTGATTTTTTGGTAATTTATCTGTGCAATTGGCACAGGTGCAGACACTAAACTAGTAAGGATTCTCCTTAACTTAATAGGAATTTATTCTATGTCTAATCAGTTGGTTATCATCACGAATATCTAGATCTGTTTGTGGGGTAAAGGTTATCCTGTGACTTGAGATCGTAAATTTCTTCCGGCTTTTCAGGCACACAGGGCTTATGAAATTGTAACGGTTTCAGTGCTTTGGAAGTATTCTCTAAACTAACTAATTTTTGCTAAACTACACTCACTTTGGTAGAATTTCCTCGAGTTGAAATATGATACTCATGATTTTGATTGATAGGTTTCGTTGTTGAAGCTGTTTTAACTAGTTTCCCTTTCTTTGGCAAAGGTAAATGATGATTATTCAATACCAATAGTTCGTGGTGATCGATTTTTTGGTAATTTATCTATGCAATAGGCACATGTGTCGGCATTAAACTAGAAAGGATTCTCCTTAATTTGATAGGAATTTATTCTATGTCTAATCAGTTGGTTATCATCAGGAATATCTAGAAATCTGTTGGTTGGGAAAAAGGCTCTCCTGTAACTTTTTAAACCGTAAATTTGCTCAGATTTTTCAATCACGAACTAATCTTTGCTAAACTACACTCACTTTGGTAGAAATTCCTACAATAGGAGAGTTTCCCTTCCTTTGACAAAGGTAAATAATGATTGTTCCACGCCAATAGTTGGCGGTAATTGATGTTTCAGAAATTTATCTACGCAATAGACAGCCATGTAGTCACTAACTTATTCTATCTTACAATCAGTTGCTTATCATTCCAAGTATCTAGAGGTCTGTTTGTCGAGAAAAAGGCTCTCCTGTGACTTTTTAAATTGTAAATTTCCACAAACTTTCCAATGACACAGGTCAGCAGACTCTCCCCTCATTGGTTATGGGGATTTTATTTTCGAAAGGCCCTGAAAACTCGTTTATGCAAATTGAAATGAAGAGAAAAAAAAAACAAAGGGTAATAAAAGGCGTTGACGCGTTAAGGGAATGCCATTTGAACCATCACGAGGTTGAGACTGATACATGGTGACAGGGTTTATAATGTGTAACGAGAGGAATTGGCAACACTGTGTGGTAAAATCTCGAATGCATCGTTGCTTTGTGTCCGAGTGGATATACATACATGCACAGCATCGTCGCTTGAATCTTGGTAGCCCTCCTCCTCCATGTAGGGCTGCTGATGTGTGTGATACAGGAGGACTTGAGCTGAGTCAGAGAAGTGTATTGCGTAACACCACGGGATTTGCAAAATCGGCCAATGTCGAATATCAGAGATACGACGAAATGCTCTTTTCCATCGTAAAGAGATCATCCTCTTGTGAGGATGAAACAAAGAGCCATTTGTTTGCGGAAATAAACGGGAGATTGATACTTTCTGTCATGATATTTCTCTCGGTTACAACGTTAGAAAGTTATTTCTGAGAAGCATCGGAGAGTTTAAAGGTGGAATAAAAAATGGATAAATTGACGGTGGAAAATATCGAACGGTTTCTTCGATCTGTGGAGAATGTACCAATTACACGGGGCTTACCACAAAGAGATATTTTTTTTTTCTCTTCCAACTCTCAATATCCACTTTATGATATTTCGTTCCACGTTGAGGGGGGAAAAACGTAATCGGTTGGAGTGCTTTGTTTTTCGTCCACTTGATTGTAGGAAAGTTCGGACTGAATGCACTGGTAGAAAATTGCTATTGAATTTTGAAATGGAAAAATGTGGAAGTGTTCAGTGACTCATTCATACGGAATTGAAATAACAAAAAAATTCAAAAGTGCTGGGATGAATAATCTCAGACTTCGTAGAATTGAATCCTTGCAGATGAAGAAAGATTAATCATCTTCAAAGTTCAAAATAAATTAGAAAGTTCATGAACAATTATGTACTGACCTCAATTCATACTAACGACTACGAAAATTAACGTGCGCTCATAAACTAAATTTCAGTATACATAATTCACATTTTTATTTTTAAATTCCTCGTCCTTTATTATCAAATTAACGAACAGAATTTCTCTCACCAGTGGGAAAATTAATTTTCACCTCTAACACCCCATTTTTTTTTCTCTCTCTCACTCCGTACTGAACTACCACAAAAACATGAGTTTAAATAACTCCTGAGAATGCAATAACTCAACTGAGAGAGAGAGAGAAAAATACATGAAACTCTAGTTTTACGTGGTTATCATATATTAAATGAACGTAACTGTGTAATAGAGTAGCTCTCCGAGTGCGTAACTCACCGAAGTTATATTACCTATGGTCATTCAACCCAAGTCGGTTACGGATAGTAACAGAAGCGGTGCGAAATTCCGCATGCCAACCCGACCCAAAGTGGATTTTGAAAGAGGTGCATAAAAGCGTCTTATACCCGGGTAAAATTGAAGGAATGCTGGGGGAGGGGAAGGGAGGGGGGGGGGTTATATACATGGAAAGGCTATAGGGTTTCGGGACAGAAATAATCCCGGCAACACGGTTTTGCATGCTACTAGGCATCTCCTCCTCTCATTTCTGGTGGAACGGAGAGGGCCATTCTGCCAAGTGCAAGAAGTCTTCTGGGGATTTGAAAACAGAGGAAAAAAAGGATGAAAGAAAGGGGGGTGATGGGGAATTGGGAATTGCAACGAGAGACGCAAATGGCGTTCCATTTCCGCACGTGAGTCTCGCAGCGAGAGTTCCGCAATCGGATGGAAGTCTCAGCGAGTGCTGAATTACTCCATTTATCACTGAAAACCAGTCTTTCATCGTCATTTCCGTGGATTATTGATTCTGGAAGCGATGAGAAAGAATTCAGAGTGCTGATGTCTCGAGGCGAATGAATACATTTCCGGATTGTTTCGCAAGCGATGGGCATTCGCGGCACGTTTGCTCTTCCGATGCAAGAAGCAATCGGTGGAAATGGGAAGTGGGAAATGGAAAGCAAGCGAATGAGTCTAAATGACTTCATGCTTGGAGAGGAGAAAAGCTTCTGAGGGACGCGGCGTCTCGATATTCATCAATCGAACTGTACTGTTAGAAATTTTTTGAAATTTCATGATAGTAATTCTCGTGAGAGTGACATTGAAGCGGATTTAGGGGAAAAATTCTTATGTAATTTCAAGTTTTAGGTAGAATTCACGGAAATTTATGAATTTTCAGAGGCCGTGGGATTGAAATTTCACAATTTTTAATGATACATGAATATTCAGAAATAACAGGTCATGAATTTTTAATGTTTCTCTGAATTTTCCTGATTTTTATGAATTTTCACAGAATAATTTAACTGAAGAATCGAGTGTTTTGTTGATTTTCAGATCATTCGAACGGAAAATCAATGGAATATTTGATTTTTCAACGGCAATTTTCCTGATTTGATACAGAAAATTCAAACAAATTTTTTTAACAGTCTGCCAATGATTGCTTTAATGCATTTCTTTCCGATAAGTTTTCTTGAATTAAGAAATGTTGTTGTTTTTTTAAAGCTCATTTGCCAGGATTTGCTTCATTAGGGTACTGAATCCGGGCCAAACGTCCAATTATCCATGGAAAACATTCACCATTCAGTGGGTCACAATTGCGAAATCCTTCCCTTCGTGGCGGTTACAAAAGCCGGGCCCGTATCACCGGAATCTCTCATGCTGATTTTTTTTTTTTTAATTCCACCAGTGGTTCCAATGCAGACTTAGGACCATTGGACAGGACGCGTGTACCAGGGTGAAAGTGGCTAACGTGAAAGTACAGTGTTTATCACTCCATTGAGGAGCATTATCGAATGATTGTTTTTACAATTGTCAGTAATTTGTAATCTTCAGTGCTTCGGGAATAATGGTATGGTGTTTGGTTAGATTTCAGTCGCTGGATAATTCAGATAGTCCAGTGGGAATAATTGAATTGTTGGGTGATGTTTGACTGATGAAATGTCTGGTGAAAAAGATCTATATTTAATTCAGTGCTCAATAAAATACACTCGACTGAAACGTCCTGTTTAAAGTTTAGTGTTTTCACGGAATAACACGTGTATGTTTAAGTACGTCAAGAGTGGACGTTTGTTGTGCCTTGGCACACACGTACACTCCTTTGTGGAGGGATAGTGGATGATGGGGTTATGGTGGTGGAGGTGAGACGTCGTTTGGTTTTTCACTGGGCTCGAGTCATTAAACGACTTAAACAATTTATTCTTGACGCTGGGGCTGGGATTTTCATGTGTGGAGGAAGGAATACCTAGGCTGCTTCATGATTCTGGCACGTTCTACACGTGAGACTTGGTTATCTGGTTTAGAGAGCACGTATAGATTGGAGATTGACGACTAGTCGTGTTTTACATTTTTCAATCCATTTGTCTTTGTATTTGTGACGTCACCATTGGGAATTTAATTTGAACTTGATAGCATTGATGGGGAAGACTCTCGGTAATTTTAGCTTAAACCTGCCACAATTCAGTAGCGAAGTGGTAAAACGGTTTAAGTCGACTTATCTCCCAGTTGAGTGTTTGCGGAATATTTCCGAATCTAAGGGAGATAGCGAAATTTTCGTGATTACATTTGTTGTAGCGCTAAATCGGCTCTACAAAAAAGGTTATAATAAAAATTTTGCTATCTTTCTTAGATTTCGAGATATTCGTTGAAAACTGGTCAATAGTCAAAATTGACTTGTACCGTTTTACCACTTCGCTACTGAATTGTACTTAATTCAATAGATGAAGAAGTAAATAAAGTAATTTGATCTGGAAATCTGGATTCTTGAATTGAGAATATTTGAGTTTTTTACTTAATTTAATTTCTCTTTTGAAATAAGTAGCACTTGCGGATCATTTCAATGGATTTTTCTTAAAAAATTGAGAAAACAGTTTTGTACTCTGAGAACATGCACGAAACCACGTGTTATCCAAAGTGATCATTTTTCGTGTTTTTGTGTCAAATTTCTAATGAAAAAAATCATTCCTCTGTTTCAGATTGAGAAGCTATGTCTGAGGATCGCACAGCACCCCAAGGGGTCATCACCCAAGCTTCGGTGAGTACAATATTTCATTCTTCATCTAAAAAGATTCAAGCGAATACGGGATCTTAGTCTCCTGAGAATAGGAGAGAAGTCACCCTCGGGGTATTAATCACTATTTTCCCTTCGTCTATTCTTCCTGCGCTCGCACCCCAATGACACTCGTACCCCGACTGCGTTACACGTATCGCATTTATGATGCATCCACCCTACATGGAAACTTACAATAAATACGGAGCGCTAGAATTTACGGGATCATGAGGGGGGGAGAGCTTCGTTGGAACATAAGACGGGGATAAATTGTTGGAGGGATATAATCCTCGTTATTAGGTTTTTTTTTCGAAATACTCTTAGGGTGAATTAAATATTGATTTTGATGTTATTCGGTCGCTTTGAGGAATTGATTGATGCTCCTCACCAAGTTTTTCTCGAGTATTTTCATTTCACTCAAACAGTCGAGTCATTCTTGAAAATTGTGTGGAAGTCTCGTTCTCTCGATATTTCTTTACGCATGAAGAAAAGTGCAGCGTCAGTCAGTAACCAGTGAAAATACCGGGAGCATTACAATCTTATGTAGATAGAGCATAAAGTAGCGCCGATTATGTTTGTTTTACCACCTACTTACCCACTTAAATTGAACCGCTCGGGAAAACGATCAGAAATAGGGCAAAAAGTGACTAATGAGCTTTTTCCGATAACGTCTGTCGTAATGAGTGTGTGTGAACAGTGAATAAATGTTTGACGCGATTTATAGTGTCTTTAGAATTTAGAATTACTGAAAAGTAAAACTGATATTTTTTACTGCACTTCCTGCGAATTTTTAGCGTTTACTGTTGACAATTCTGGGAAATTTCTATCATATTATTTTATGGAAATTTATGATGGAATGGAATTATGGAATTTTATGGAAATATCAATGAAAACATGGAATTTCAGTCCAATTATTCCATGAAAATTAATGAAAATTTAGAAAAATATATTTTTGAATTCAGAATTAATTGAAAATTCAACATAATTTGGTACTGAATATTCATGTTTTGATTGAAAATTCAGATAAGTTGGGAAACTCTCGTCGTCCTGCTGCTCAAGAATTTGGAATTTGATTGAATTTCCAATCAAATCTGAAATGTCATGAGTTTTCCCCTAAAAATCGAATTCGCTGTCACTGTATTCTTGAATTGAAGTGAAATTTTGCCGAACGTGTTCGATAAAAATTCATTCTCCGTTAGAGAAAAATACACTGGGATTATTTTTGATGGAATGCAGAGTAAATTTTACGCTTTCAGTGCAAATAACCCTCAAGTTCACACGGAGAGAAATATTCAATAAAAATTACGTATCTTTTTCGTAATTGCGGAGCGAAAGGTGATTGTAGGAAATTTTACGGAACTGTCACGGAATTTTTCCACAGCGTTCCGTAATTTTTACCTGAATCTCCTGTGAAAAATCACGATATCGTCACTTACATTTTCTGAGTCGATTCCGTAATCGGTGAGCGAAGTGTGAGTTCCGTAATTTTTACTGAACATTTATCTCCGTGCAGTAAATTTTCCCTAGGTAGGATAGGATGAAAAAGTACTGAAAATCGAGTTCACTCCACGATTTGACTTGTTCGGTAATTTGTCTCCAACTTTTTTCTACGTGCCTGAAATTCCAAATAGTTTCTAACAGTGCCCACAGTTCAGTAATTTTCACTGTCCTTTCTGCACAATTCATTATTTTTAATATCAATTTCGTAAATCATCACTTTGTCGCAAGCACTGGGAGATGAACATGAAAAAAATGGTTAATTACGGATGAAGATACAGAGTGTTGGGTTACACTATCCGGAAGTTGGAAATATGATCTGGGGTTATGAGTATGATCTAGGAACTTGGACAAACGAGCACGTATGTTTAACCCAGTCCGTGCTTGTCTAACCGACACACGATAATTTCATCTTCTTTCACTGCTAATTCAACGTCAATTATTCATGATTTACGAGCCATCCGGTGTTGGTACGAGTGCACTGTATTGAAACCAAGAGGATATATATCCTGGGGGGGGGTTACGTCTACATCCCTCTCGATAGTTATGTACGAGCTTGAGTTTCACCATTTGACCATTAAATTTCAGTCTTTATGATTTTCCTGATATCCTGGGTCACGATATACTGTGATTATAATCCACAGTGCCATGCACATGAGGATAACTATTATACTTACTGTTATGGGGGAAGAGTTTGAATCTTGGTACATTCGTTGCAAATTGGTACTAAACTGTTGGAAATAATTGTCGTAAATTCGAGGGGGCTTGAGGGGAATTGTGAGAATGCAACTGTTTGAGTGGAATGTTGAGGGAGATTAGGAATTTGGAGAGATTGTTTTAAGATTTTGTAATTTCAGGGAATTGTAGCTATTTTTAAATCTTTAACGAATTTTATCGTTGAAAATTCATAATTCAATGAAAAAATGGAGACTGGGAATTTCAGCTTAATTGTTCCATGAAAATAAATAGAAATCAGAGAAATTCAAGAAGATGACTTTTAGTCTCAATGGAATTTTAAGGAATTTTGTCGTTGTAAATTCACAATTTGAAGAAAAAAATTAATGGAGATTAATTATTTTATCAAAATTAGAACAAATAAGGAAAATTCAAGCGAATACACAAGGATATGATTTTCGGAAATTCCTATCAACTAATAGTTCATTGAAATTCAAGGAATTTCGTAATGAGAAATTAATAATTTGAAAAAAAAATCAATGACAATTGTTAATTCCAGTTAAATTATTCCATGAAAGTTAATAGAGACGCGAAAAATTCAGATAAACACCTTCTTGAATTTTTAATTCACTGAAGTTTCAGCATAATTTTGTGTTGAATATTCGACTTTTGATTAAAAATCCCAATAAGTTAAAAAATCTCGTTTTCTTACTGCTCAAAAATTGAGAATTCCATTCAATTTTCAGCTCAATTAAAAATTTCATGATTTTTGTCCCCGGGACATAATCCTAAATTTCAGAAATTTTGTCCCCAAATTTCAGTAATTTAATCCCCAAAACTGTGAAGTAATCTTAGACAGTGTAAAAATCCTTAAAAATTCGCGATAAATTTCTAAAAATTAAGGACCACAATGCCCCCGCCCCCAATCCCGTCTAATGATTCTATTTAGTGTCAATTATTCTTCAAAATTTGAGATAGTTTTCTAAAAACCAAAATTGGTGCTGTCTCTGCGAAGAAGTGCATTCTGAAGACCAATGTTGTCCCGAATATGTGGTCTTCCAATAAAAATAACCACTTGTGGTTGCATTCCTGGTGTTCTCCAACAATTCCCACAACGACCGTCCGAATTGCCATCTCCACGAATGGTTGACATTGAATCATCCCGAAATCTAGGGCATCCACAAGCCACATCTTGCCGATATCGGGATGTCAACCCTCGGAATATCCAGCTAGTTCAATAGAGCCAATATAAACAACTGGAAATACTTATCCGTTATACCACGTCGGGATCTTGAATTACGTTCACCCCAGTGATCCGGAGCACATCGCTGGAAGAAACGTGTTTTCAGATAGCGGTGCTCCTGTGCCACACACTGGTAAAAACACATGTCCGCCCCAGAACCACTCTCTTACGTGTCTTAATTTGACGTTGAGACAGTCACGATGTCTGTAATTGTGTCTGAATAAGGATTTTAAGGGTAAATTTTTTTTTTTATCAAGTTTTTCGTTACAAAATGGTTAATGGGACCGGAGGTATTATTTTTATTGACGGAACGAGCGGATGGAATGGGTTTTATAGAGCTGGAATTATACGTAAATAACGGATTACGGATTACTTGAATTGTGTAATTGATGGGGAAGGGGTTGAGGTGAAGTTGTGAGACTCACTTGTGGGTGAACTTCTTGCTTGAGCGCTTGAGAGGAACTCAATTTTTATGGCTTGAGCTTGGCACGCGAGGGTATTAATGGCCGGTTGTAAATTCTGGATTAGGATATTAATTCATTTTCATTTATTCCGTTAGATCGGGTGGGGGCACTATTAGGAATTGTGGGGAGTTTCTGGGCGACTTCTTGACCTGTTCATTGATTGAAATAAATTATTTTTGGGGAGTTTTTAGCGGTTTTAATGGAAAGTCAGGAGTGATGCATAATTTGTTTTGCAAGGATTTTTGGTATATTGGGATTTTAAATACTTGAATACATTTCGAGGGCATTTTTCTGGAAATTGTAACTTTTTTTCTGTGGGGATTCTTCTATTTTGTATTAAAGGGTTGAAAATTTTTCACTGAAATTTGTAGAATGCTTTTTTTATAATTTTTATCAAGTGACAGTTTTAGTGAAATTTCGAGGAATATCATAATTGGAAATTCATGATTTTACGGAGAAATCAATGGAAATAGTTAATTCATTCAATTATCATTCAACTGTTATTTCATTTTTTTAATATTTAATTTATTTTGTACTTTAGTCCAATTATTCCATGAAAATTGATAACAATCGGGAAAATTCAGGCAAATATATTCTTCAATTCACTATTAATTAGCAATTTAGCCTACTGAGATGCCGAATATTCATATTTTTATTGAAAATTCAAGTGAGTTAAGGAATTCTCATCCTCCTGCTGCTCAAAAATACAAAATTCTATTCAATTTTCATTGAAATTTGACATTTCAATTTTTTTACCAGTGTAATGAGTCTTGCATCTCAAATTATTTTTATAAATTCGTCCCACGTGTTCCTTTTACATGCTCTCACACTTCAATTGCCCCAGCATCTGCTTAGTTTCCCTCCCAAGCAATAAATAACTGAATAAGTACCGAATAATGAATTTTTACTGTCCCAATACGGGAGATTGAAAAAATATCAGGAGCTTTCTCCACGTCTGTGAATTCAAACCGAAAAAAGGTAAACACAAAAAAAAACCTTGGGTCGATTGGTTCCACGGCGTGCCATCGGCGGTTGTAACACGACTCTTTGGCCTGAGGCAACTTCTCCCATTCCAAACTAGAATATATCCGTTGGAGTTTTCTGCA